CTGGCTTCTATCTCAAAGAGCAGACGGTGAGAGCAATGGAAGGCTGAGGCAGCAGGAGAAGTGAGAACAACAAAAAAGATAACCTTAGGAGTCTGCCAGGTTAAATAGCTAAAAGCCCCTTTTGTTTGAGGTTTTTGTTCTCATGCTCAATCTTGGTGTTTGAAACAAGGTCTCATTATGTAGCCCAGGCTGTCCTGAAACTCTACATCCTCCTGTCTTAGGGTTCTAAGTCCTGGATTTACAATTATCCACTACCATGCCTGGCTTTGAAATTTTTTTTTTTAAATAGTTTCATGGGTGACAGAACAGGACCATGCATTTGACCTAACTCTAACAATCAGACAGCTGGAGACAGAAACATACAGAGGTGCTCATCAACCACACAGCACTCTCCTGTCTCTGACACTGCCAGACACCTGCAGTATCTCATTTAACTCTCACAGTACCCCATCACCTCACTCTTCTGGAGGACACTGATGTGCTAAGCCACAAGCTTCTAAGTGATTTTTGAGCTAGAATTTAAAATCTTACCACCTGCTTCATTAAAATAGACCAATGTAAGTTGGACCTAGTGGCTCCGCCCTTCCTGTGAGTTTGGGGCCAGCTGTCCTTGAGCAGTGGGCATAAACAATGTCTACCCCTGACGCAGACAAACTGAGATGCTATTCCACCAAAGGTTCTGCCGGGCAACTGATGAGTGGTTACAGGGTTTCCTTGCCGAGCACAGGGGAGAGGTCACTCACAGGAGTGTTGGTGTGCCACCAAAGGTCAAGATTAAAAGTCTTTACTCAGCAGGAATGATGGCATTCCCTCTTTCCAGCAGCCACATGGAATAAACCTTAGCCCCACCCCCAAAGCTCTTGAAGAGGCCATGTACTATTGGGGTAGAACTGAATACAGCTGGGAGGTTGAGTGGCCGGATACCCAGTTGCTGGTGCCATGGCCCGCCCACCTGCTCCTTCTATGAGGCAGTCTTCAAGCCCGGCTGTGATGATCCTAATCCAGCAGAACTCCTGAAGATGGAGCCAGTTTGGCTGCAAGGATCGTCCTGTACTATCAGATGATCTACTCTGCATAGAGAGTTATAGCAGTCGGGGATACAAACTGAGACTCTGCCCAGAACAAAAATAAACAAGTAATTATCACAGAAGAGAGAACAAGAGACCATGACAATAGAAGGCAAGAAGCAAGTTCAGGCTATAATTGTGTAAATACAAAGAGAACCAGAGCCCATGTGACCACAGAACCACAGACCCAATCCTGGAGAACACAAGTGGCCACCGTCTCCAGCTGAGACTTAAGCCTTTCCCTAGTCCCCCAACCCACTGACCTTTTCAGACTTACTGATGCCCGGTCATAGGTCAGAGAAATGGTCCCACCTGGGGCAGCATCAAGCCAGAGCAAAGACCTCTAGGATCCTGGCTTCCATCACCTGCGAACCCTACAACTATCCTTTGGTTTCCCCTCTTGCCAAGCTGCCCCATGGTAGGTGCTGAACACTAAATCCCACTTGTTTAACCCAGACATATTCCTGGAGATGTCTGGCTGCAGGGCCTTGTCAGAGCAGTGAGCCACCCAGGGTTAGATGAAGAGTTTGATGCCCCTGATTTGGAAGCCTGGGTTCAGTAACTCTGCTGACTGTTCAAGGTGCCCCAGGTCTGGCTGGGAGGGGAGGGCAGCTGTGCTTGAGCCCTGGCATCTCCAGGAAATGCTCCCTCAGCATGTGGAGGATTTTGATTTCCTAGTGATGAAGCTCCGCTGAGTGTCTCTGGTATCAGGTCTACATTGTTCTTGGATGATACCCTCTACCTGCAGGGAATTTAAACTCTAATTGCAGGCCAGGTGTGTGATGTAGCCCTTGCCTGTAATCCCAGAACTTGATGAGCAGAAGCAGGAGGATCTAGAATTCAAGGCCATTTGGGGCTCCTTATTAAGGCCTGTTCCCTAATGGAATACTGGTCTGTGCTAAACATGTTGGCCTTGCCACTGTGAGAAGAGAGTTAAAACAGGAATAATGACATCTGCGACATCACGTACCGATGTTATTGTTTAAAGAGGCCCAGGGCTCCCCAAGTGTGCTGTCCCTCCCACCCCAGCCTTTTTCAAACGCTCACTAGGCAGGAGTGATGCTTTTCCTGATTATGCAGAAGGGCCAAGTGAGGCCTGAGACTTTTGTATGTTCTCTGACAATGTACTCCTGATGGTCAGAGAGTGAGCAGACAAGCCCTGGGATCGAGCCCAGATGGAGTGCTCAGACCCTCTACTCCACAGCATATTTTTCAGAACACACGCTAAGTGTTTTAATAATACTTCTTTACAGTCTTCTACACCCCAAGTTCAATGGCCCTTGGATCCAGTCAGACCTCTCTGCCTAGAACGTGCTAGTGAGTGCAAATTTTTATACCAAAAGCAAAAGCCACACCAAGAATATTAAATAAGCATCATTCCTCCCAAAAACATTGTGCTACTTCCTTTCTGAATGACTTTGAGGGTCCAATTATGGCCATGAATTCGCAGCCCTCTAGTAGGAAACTTTTGGGGCGTAGTTTCCTGACAGCGATAAGAGACTTGCTTCTTATCATGCTCCTTACTAGCCGGGACTGAGGCCCCACTCTGAGCGTTCTTTGCCCCCAGCTCCGGCCTCCTGTCTGGAAACACTGAGCAAAAGATTCTGAATCCCATGCAAATTTACTTTTTGTAGGGCCAGCTAGAGGTCTGAAGTCTTCTGACTCTAAATTGGTGGTCCTTCTTCTGTCCCTGACGCATGTGGCAGTGTGGTGAAAATGTAAAAGTAATTTTTATTTGCCTGACTAACCTAGGCCTAGTCCTGGAAGCTTCTAAGCCTCCATACTATCTAATCTAGGCCTAGAATATGTTCAGCCTCTGAAACTTACAACTGAGTTAGCTCACTCTTTCTAGCTCTTTCTGAACACTAGCTGGCTGGTTCAACTCAGCTGTTCTGGCTCAAACTCCTCTCCAAGTTGACTTATCCAAACTGGCTTTTCTGACTGAATTGCTCGCTTGGCCTCAAACTAACTCCAGCAACTTGTTCTAATCTTTTGGCTCCTTTTCATCCTCTGGCTCGTTCTATCTTGACCTGTGTCTAGCTTGTTCTGTCTTCAACCTGACTCTGTAAACCTCTCCCGGTAAAACTGCCTCTGAATTCCACAAACTCAACTGTCACAAACTCAACTCCACCACACTGTCTCTCAGCTCACTCTCCACTGAACAGCCTGAACCGCACTGACTCAGAGATCTGCTGGATCACACAGACCTGAAAGGTCTTCGGATGTGATCACTCACCAGAGCAGCCATGTTCTGATTTAAAATTCCTCTCCATGAAAACAGAAGGAAATAGTCCTTCTTCTTGCCTCTCACCAGACCAAGATATGGCTCTGCTTGCACACACATGGCAGGGCAGGATCTAATTACTCTTGAGCAGGAAGGAGGGTGAAGGCTGAAGTCTGTAGTCCACAGCAGGGCCAAGGTAACAGCTGACATGGAGGAGGACAAGAAAGGCAAGAGGAAACAACGTGGGAAATATAATTGGGGATCTGTTTTTCCTGGATCTGTGTTTGCCTGCATGTATGCATGGCCTCGTGTGTGTGCAGTGCCTGGAGAGGCCAGAACAATGACTCAGGTCTCCGGAACTGGAGTCACAGGAGGCTGTGTGCCTCCACGTGGGTGCTGGCAACCAAACCCTGGTATGTCTTCAAGAGCAGCAAGTGCTCTTAATTGCTGAGCCATCTCCCCAGCCCTGGTAAATGTAATTGAAAAGGTGAAAAATCTTTTTGGCAGGGAGGCAGCAGGCTACAGTACCATGCCCACTCCCCACTCCACTTCCTAGCTAGTCATCCTCTGTTGCAGGATATTTGATTGCATTGTGAACTGAAAAAAAAAAAAAGTTTCTTGTGGTGTGGCTCAGTTCTAGTGCACACCTTTAACCCAAGAGCTCGAGTTGACATAAGAAAACACAGGAAGGAGGGACATTGAGTTGAAGGGTATCTAAGATAGTGTGGAGAAGAAAGGGCTTTATCCTTCTGGGACATCAGATGAGAGGGTCAGCTGGGTGCTTTCTCTGCTTCTTGGAGCTAGCAGGTTTTCACTCCAGCATCTGGCTCCTGAATCTTTATTGGTAAAATCTTTAAAAGCAACATCCCTCCCACATGCCAGTTCTTCTGGTGTCTCTGTGTGATGCTTACCAGCTGAGAGGAAAGACGGGGACTCGAGGCCAGCTTTAAAGTCACAGTGAACATCTAGTGGCTTTAGAGTGGCTGTGGCTGTGAGCAACAGAGGGCAGCTCTCAGTCACTGTGAACAGAGCTCAGAGTGTCAGGCAAGGGCAGGGTGGGTTCACGCCAGGCAAGGCGCTTAGGGGAATGCACACCCTTGTGTATTCCAGTACCTCTTCGTGTGTGTGTGTGTTTAGTCAGTGTCAGCTGTCTTTCTCAATAACTTTTTTATTTTTGAGGCATAGTCTTCCTCTTGGGAGAATGGTCCCCCCAAAGCCCATATGTCAATAGTTAAACCCCAGCCCAGCCTGATATAAACTGGAAGGTGCTAGAAATATTAGGAGATGGGACCTACAGGGAAATTTCCCAGCTCTGGGGTGAGCCAGTAAAGCAAAGAATGAACACATGGCTCTTTCCCCCTCTTTTCCTTCCCAGCTATGAGGTGAGACGTTGCTTGGCTCCAGCACAGTCTCCCATCATGACTTACTGTCTCATTCACAGGCTCCCAAACAGCAGGGTCAATCGTTTGTGGACTAGAACCTCCAAAACGAGACAGTCTCTGCATAAGCTGGTTCTCTTAGGTGCTTGCTACAGTCGTAGAAGGCTAATAGATGACTAATAGAAGACTAATGGACGAGCCCTGTGATGCCGCAGCAGGTGATGGGGAGTTGCAATGTCAATCAACCAGCTAGGCCCCGGCTATGAAAAGCAGACCAAGGAACTGTTAAGTAACAAATTAGCCATAAATGACAAAGACTCTACGAATTCATCTGTTTTGACTTATCTGTTTAATTTCCACAAACATGTCACAGGCATTTTGAGTTTTCAAAACGTTTCATTTACAGCACCATTGAACATTTTTTTTTTACCTGCAACAGGTATGTATATGTACATCCATTGTGGGGGATTCACATGCAATTAGCAAGAAGTTATTGAAACTCTGTACCTTAAAGTTTTAACAACCCCCGCCCCCCAAATGTGATGATTATGCTTTGGCGATCTCTTCCTTGGGAACAGAAGGAGGATGTTAAGCAACAAAACTCCACAATACTGTAACATAACCCCAGCCTCCTGGAGAGGATGGCTCTCCCCTGACAATCAGAGCACTCACTACAATTCAGAGAAGGTTCAGCATCTCCAGCCTAAGGGTGCCAGCCCACCAGAAGGCGCAGGCCCCACTTAGCTAAGAAAAGCCTGGGGCAGGGGTGGGTAGGAAGAGAGGAAGTGTCAGAACATAACATATATTTTCCAAATTCTAAGAAGATTTTATCCACTTCGGATTTGGGTCTGACACAGGTTCTTTTTAAGAAACCGTTTTCCTGGTTTGATAACCTTGTTCCCACTCGTGGTCACTTGACTGGCTATAAACTCAAAAGCACAAAGAGGTGACAGGAGATGAGGCCAGGACAGAGCCAAGCTCAGATCTCACGTAGCAAGGCTAGCCTCACACCCACCATGCGGTCCAGGGTGAGGGGACCTGCTGCCTTGTGTTACTAACCGCTAGGCTGCAGGGCCAGCCCAGGGTCCAAGTGGATGCCATGTAACAAGGGTTTGGCTTGGAGCCTCGGCACAGCAAAGAATGACTTTTTAAGAGACTGCTTGGAAGCAGTGAGTCCTGATCCATGTACGATGGTGAGTACCCTGGACTCAGGAGGCCGGGGCTGCAGGATGCAGAGTTCCAGGCCAGCCTAGGAGAGGGAGGATATGGATCCTGCTGAATGGATGATACTTAAAACATGGGGGGGTGGGAGAGGCGGTCCATCAATAACATGTAAATGTGGTTACAGCTAGTGGTTTAGAAGAAGAGAGGGGCCCAACACTTCTCTCCAAGGGACACATGGCAATGTCTAGAGGAACTTTTGGTTGACATAGGTTGTGGAGATGATTTGGGATGTGTGACTAGAAGCCAAGAATGCTACTAAATAAGCTGTAATATGTAACAGGGCCTGGACACACCCAACTCAGAATGCCAACCCACCAAAATGGAGACATCCTCACAAACACCCATGCCACTGAATCTTGGATTTTAATTTTAACTTTAATTTACAGGGTGTGTGTGTGTGTGTGTCCATAATAACCAAATGTCAAGAAATCTTAGTTTCAAAACTAAGATTAGAAGATTGGAAATGAAACAAAGCCATCATTTCCTATAAACGGTGCTCAGTGCTAAAAGGAAGCAATGTGTTCCATAGAGCAACAGCCACAGGAGGACATGGAAAATACTAGAAGGACACAGAACAAGTCAGCTTGCAGGACACTTAATCCTGACCTGTCCCGTAGAGGGTGTAATACATGTTCTGAAAACTAGTCTCGGGGTTAGAGATATAGCTCAAGAGTAGAACATACACCTTACAACCGTGAAGGCCCGGGTTGGTCACCACTACTTCAGGGGGGGAAACAGGGCAATCAGGATGGAAGGAAGGGAAGGAGGGAGGGCTGGGGCTGGCTGCTAGAATGAATAGAAGCATGTAGGATACCAACTGAGTGTACCAACCTGATACCCTCAGGTCAGTGACTAGCCAAGCTCAAAGAAACTATGCGGTCTTGTCCACCATGTGCACAGCTGATTCAGGGAGGGAAAGCAGGCACTTCCTTCAGAGAATTCAAAACAAGACAATCAATGGCCCAGGGAACCCCAAGCAAAACATCGCACGGCCAAGGCCAGAGGTATTGAAAACAACCAGGTGGCAAAAGCGCTGCACCCTCGCAACTTGCTTGCTTAGGAAATGCACTTTGGCTGTCTTCAAAAAGCCGCATTTTATGCTGGCTCCTGCTTACACTTTGCTTTGTAAGTGTCAATCAAGATAGTTTTCTGAGGCTCAATTTAATTTTTTTTGGAACTAAGTGTATTTTCTTTTCAGAACAAAAAAACACTTCAGAGATTAAAGAATGTTATTTGCATACAAACTAAACCATTCCTTTAGCTAGGAGCAGGGAAGCTGTGCAATCATAACTTTTTCTTTAGGAATAAGGCAGAGTGATAAGAACTGAGATTCGGAAGTCAGAGACAAATTTCTTCTTTGGCTTCAGCTAAGGCGTGAAGCTGTTGATGTGGAAGAGTCTGCTGGGTCTCCTGGGGAATCCTCTGACCTCTGTGAGTTCTGTGAGTAGAAACTTTTTGTCTTTGCTCCTCCTCCCCTAGCTTATAAAGTGCATACAATCTAACACAGTAAACTCCCGGGATTTAAATAGGTTTTAGATATTTACTTATGAATGGTTGATTTGGATCTAATCAACTTCTAAGGAACACAAAATTTCAGATACTCCCAATCACACCTGCCCATTAGCCTCCAAATTTAAGACTAATATTAAAACAAACAAACAAACAAAGCAAGCAAACAATCCTGAGTCTCACTATTTTGTCTGGGCTAGTGTTGAACTCCTAGGCTCAGTGCCCTGAGCAGCTGGGCCCACAGGCATTTGGCAGCATGCCCAATAGAGGCATTTCCTTTAAAATGATGCTTGCACTGACAAATGTGGGTGCCTTTCCTGCGACCACGCACGACTTCTGGTGAATCCTGGGTAGTTTCTCAATAGGATCAAAGTCGATAGCCTAGGACAAAATCGCTTTCAGTCAGCCTTGAAACTTGTTAAATAAGATGCTGGCTCTATCAGTCAGGCACCTCCATACCACACCTATGAGGCTTTGCCCAAACAAGAAGCAAAACATGTGACAGACAGAAAGTGCATTTCTGCACTTTCCTCCTACCAGTTCAGTTATATGTCTGAAACATATAATTTATTTGAACTTGGTAACATAAGTCAGCGACATGAAACTCTAAAAGCCTCCAAATACATTAAAATCAGCAATTAAATTACTTTTCATTTCTCACTTGGGTATCAACTCTTCCATTAAGTTACCATTTGGCAACTACAATAAATACTTTAAAATATGCCTAGTTAAAGCAAAGGCAGGCTAGCTTATTTATCTGGCAGGAATGAGTATTCTCCTGTCCCCGGAAAATTCATCTCCCCCCTCATCAATGCTACATGGATCAATGTGATTATAAAGAGAAGACTTTGAGGAAATCTGGGTAAGAAAATCATTATCAGAATTATATGCGGCAACTATCCTACCTGGAGACTCTCAGAGATGGTAAATAAGCACTACAAAGGGAGAAGAGATACACCATAGCCACAGTTAAGTTCCCAGCAGGAAGTGATGTCAGCCATCTCACCCCTCACAAAACAGAGATGGCCCAAACTTCGTCATTCCCTCCACCCTCGCAAAGTCTACCCCGTCTAACCTTTTTTCCACCTTAATAGCTATGCATTTTGCATTTATTTATTAGGCACCCATTTTCTCGTGATCCAAGAATGGACTTGAGATTATATAATTCTGCATCGCCACAAACAGCTGACGTTCATCTTTTAAGATCTTTGAGGGGAAGAGAGGAAAACATAGTCAGTGTGCTCTGATCTTTCTTCTGCCCACTTAAGCTTTGAGCTCTCTTGAGAGTCGGCTACAAGTTCCGATGGGCTTAAAAACAAGGGCTCCAGGGTTCATCTCAGTAACAGAGCTGTTTCTCAGCACGCACAGGCCCTGTGTTCAGCTCCCCAGCACCGCGAGACAGACCAGACTGACTCCCAGTCCTGTGTCATGGTCACTGAGTCCCAGCCTTCAATACTCCTGATATAAAGACTAGGGCAGTCTGCTCTAGGAAATTCAAGGTCATACTAAGACTGTTGCAGAGAAGCATGAGATGCCCAGGGTAACGGAGAGGGGTTATCCTCCACTTGAAAATCAGCAGGCTTGATCCACTAACATCCCCCACAGCTGACCCCTAATGGCAGGGCATACACCCACAAAGCTCTTCCCACAGGCAGAGCTGGTGACGCCAGAGCACCTGTCCAGACAGTCTGATTGTGCTTGGGAACCCACTAAAAATGAGTACTGTTTTCAGAATGTTGTCCCTCTTGAGTCTTGCTAAGAGTCTGTCCCTGCTCCCTTGGACATCCATCCAAAGCCATATCAACAGCTACTTCCGGAGTAGCCCTGGTGCTTCGGTAAGTCTCTAGAGGCCCACCATTGTGTTCTGCACAACCGTTGACTAGAGCCAGTGGCAGTGTCCCCGGGGGACAGCACAGCTTCTTAGCACAGCTCTGGGAGAGACAGGGGGCACTGCAGGTCAGCAAGAAGTCCTTCTGCTCCAGGGTTTCCTTCAAGTCCACTGTTTCAAACTGGATGGTCACACTGTGGATTCCAGCATGGTGGAAGATCTCTCGGATTTTTCTGCTGGCATCCTGGTACTCTGTGCCCTTCTGGTACTTGATGTGCAGAGTGGCGATGACCTTCCCGCTTATTAGCTCCCAGATGTGTACTTCGTGCACACTGCTGATTCCGGGCACGGTGGAGAGCTTGCTCACTGCAACAGACAGGAACAAACAACAGCCAATAGTGAGTGCCTCTGTGCCTAGTGATGCCCACCAAAGCTGCGTGTTTACCAAGGCGATCAGGAAGAGATGCTGTCCCTCAATCGTCCATTCTCCCGTAATCACCTTTCCTCTAATTTCCTGTACCACAAAGTGTTTGCCTATAACAAGTAACTCAAGAGCCTGAATCAAAAAGATTGCAAGTTCAAGACCAATCCAAGAACATTCTAAAGCAGCCTGGGCTACCTGTAGATAGTCTGTTCCAGGCCAACCTGATCTACATAACAAGTTCTATGCCAGTCAGGACAACAAAGGGAGACTCTTTCTCAGATAGATGGATAGATAGATACATATTCAGACAGACAAAGAGATGATAGAGAATAAATAGACAAGTAGATAGGAAATAGATATGATCAATAAGAGGCAGCCAGATGGTATATATATAAGTGACTGATAAATGATAGATACGTAGATAGATGATGATGTATACATAGGAAGATAGACAGATGATAGTTAAATTTTAGCCTCTGAAGCACATAACTGAAGTGAGACTCTGGCTTCTCTCTAAGCAAAACCAAATGAGAAGGGCTCTCTCCAGACAAGACAGGGGCCATTTAACGCATAACACAGCATAATGTGCCACCGAGTAACTTGCAAACTCATGAATGTCAACTAACTAGGAGGCATTATCTAGACCACGAATGAATGAGTCATCTTTTTAGGGGGGAAAAAAGGAGTATAAAAATCAAGGTCTTGCAGAATGGCCTTAGAAGAGTTAAAACACACCTTTGTCATGAGATCAAACAGCCCACAAGTGGGTTTTGCCCAAGCTTTACATTCTCAAGACTGTGCAAGTGAATCAGAAAACCATATTACAGAGGACCTTTGGTTCTTGGAGCTATGAATCATCATACTATGCTGCAAGCCACATGAAGCATGCCTCCATCACGTGATGCTTAGGGCTCTTCAGAGCATACCAAGCAGTGCTCTGTGATCATAACCCTCTGACCGAGCAACGTAAAAGTATGTGTGGTCCCCATCTCCGTGCAATCCACTTACTCAGTTCTTCCATGTTGACTCCCTTGGGGACCATCTGCAGCAGGATGACAGCAGTCTCCTTGATCAGCGGAAAGGCAGATGCCAAAATAATGATGACCATGACAACAGTCAAGCTGGGGTCAATGTAGCACTGCCAGTTACACGGGTCTGCAGGTCTCAGGGGATGTATGTAGAAGATGATGGCCGTGACAACCACAATCACGGACCCCAAGGCATCTCCCATTACGTGCAAGAGAACACCTGCCAGGAAGGAAGACCAGTGAACCCAGAGCCACGTGTTGGAGCCACATAATGACCTGGGATCTAGACTTCCAAGCTCATAAACGTTCACTGCCATTTTCTGCTAAAACACCGAGTAGGTCAGAAGTTTCCAAAACAAGCCCAGCATATGATGTGCACCTATAATCTCAGCATTTGAGAGGCTGAGACAGGAAGACAGCCTATACACAGAGACCACCTTAAAACAAACAAAATAACAACAGCCACTACTCAGAAAGCAAACTCTTGGGCCAGAGCAATTTGATGGCTCAAGCAAGTGGGGACGCCTGCCACCAAGCCTGGCAGCCTGGGTCATTTCCCGGGACCGCAGCAGAGTAAGATAACTGACTGCTGCTAGGTGGCCTCTGTGCTCTAATCTCCACATGCATATCCATGCACACACACACACACACACACACACACACACACACACACACACACACACGCATGCACGCACATACGAACGTGCACAACAAAACAAAAATGTAATGAAAATGATTTTAAAGATAAATGATGTGATTATATTTTAGTTTTAAATTTTAAGAAATTAAAAAGAAGGAAAGAAAAAGCACTAACAAAATCTCAGGCCAGCTACCCAGGACCCGGGAAGAGGAAGAGCCTAGGAAGACCTGGGCTAGGTGTCACCTGCTGTGTCACCATCCGATACTGCCACATCACAGTCACCTACTCCCCATCAAAGGGCATCATGACGGGAAACGGGGTAGAGAAGATGACGCTATTCTTTCAGACGAGCACCTGTACATTAAGTTGTTTTAAACTCTTGTTTCATTTTGCACTAGAGACAAAGTCTCACTGTGTAGTCCAGGCTGGCCTCAAACTCCAAATCTTGTGGCTTGGCCATCCTGGTGCTAGGGTGGCAGACGTGCACCACCATGCCTGGCTTCCTAATCCGAGTCTTTATGATACTCAAGTCTTTACGATACTTTATGATAGACTGAGTCAGGTGTGGGGTGGGGCTCCCCTTCATGAGTGTCCCTGATGAGCTCAGCCTGAGGGCGTCCATCACCGTTTATTGCTGTTTTTATGGTTGCCATGAGGATGGAGCCCAGCAGCTCACAAATGCCAGGCAATCATATGCCACTGCAATACAGCTTCAGACACAACTGTGGCCAACACAAATGGTTCTTTTGGTTCGCTGGCTTCCCTTGACCCCAGTCCACGTCCCCTTTCTCTGCAGATACTCATCTATCCCTCACAGACCTGTCGTTATCCCTGTGGCACTAAATGTAAGAAGGCCTCAAGAGCAGGGATGCTGATGAAGTTTTCTCTGCATAAAAAAGCCATTTGTCATAGCCACATGAAATTAAAATTCTACGTGTAAGGATTAAAGCTGTGGGTTCTAGACGTCATAGTTGATTCATTGCAGAAAAGATTCAACCCTCATCAAAGATTTGGGGGCTGGGCTGTAGATGCACATTAAATTAGGATTTAGTAAATTCAGTGACATCTGGTCAGAGGGATTAAAAATGTAGACACAAAGTATTTACAAGCTCATGTGCATCCTTGTCTTGATGTGAGTGAGGGGTGCCATTCCCATGACCCAGCACACCCCACAGAATCACACCAACCAAGATCTTCGAGTCATCGTGTTCACATAGGCTATCAACAGCCTGTGCTGCTGGGTCAGAGAAAAAGGCCCCTGCTGCCAAGCCTGATGGCTGGGGTTTGGTCCCTGAGCCCCACATGGTAGAAAAAGGAGAGACCTGACTCCTGCAAGTTGTCCTCTGACCTCTACACATGTGCACATGTGACAAATGAATGTGATTTTTATTTATTTGGTGACTTGCTGTGGTGGCACCTACCTACAATCCAACTACTCAGCAGGCTGAGGCAGGAGGATGGAAAATTCAGGGTCAGACTGGGCTACAAAGAGACTACCAGGCCTCCTTAATCCACACACTGTCTCAGAAAAAACACAACAAACAAACAGAAATTTAAAAAACTGTGAAACTTCCTGAGGTCATAAAACTGAGTATCCAAAAGTCACGCAGCATCTGCTACTCTAAAGAATCGGTGGGTGACATTCCAGCTGGACAGTGGTGGAGGAAGAAGGTGTGCCAGGCCAAACAGGGGGCACAGGGCATTTGACCCAAAATGTGTGTGGTAGAGCATGCTTTTAATTCCAGCAGTTTGGAGGCAGAGGCAGACAGATCTCTGTGAGTTACAGGCCAGCCAGGGTGACATAATGAGACCCAGCCTAAACTAAACTGAAATAAGTGTGTTCCATTTCCGTTATATATGCTTAGAAATATGAAGAGCCAAATCAACCGGCAATGCCACAGACAGCACTGCCGGGGCCTGAGCATTTGGATGGGGACTCTGCTCAGGGATCATGAGCTTCCAGAGCTTGTGGTGGGATTAAAATACAGGCTGATACGCCACCCCACCCCCAGCACCAACAAGCCAGTCCTCAGGGGAAGGAAGGAGCTAAACTTGAAGAAGAGTCTCTTAGAAGAGCTAGAAAGAGCAAAACGTACAGCATGTCAACCAGGGCTAACAGAAACCAAAGGAAAATGGAGAGGCGGCAGGGAGAGAGGGGAGCCCCACACCTGAGGCCCACCTGAGACTCCATCTCCACCCTACAGATGAGGAAACTGAGGCAATGAGCATCTAAGTGACTTGCTCAAGATCATACAGACATCAAATCCAAGCAGGCACTTGAACAAGACTGCCCAGGTGATTTGAATGCAAGCAGAGGTTTTTAAAGGATCATTCTAGAAGCAAACACATAGTTAAGGAGGGTCTGTCTGCTTAGTCACCCCAGGCATCCGGAAAATCCACTCAGTAGAATTGACAATGATCCTGACTGCTAACTGCTCACTCCTGGACAAGACTGAAGGGTCTGATCTGGAAGGTGTTTGAAATGAGGCTGCTCACACTTCCTGGCCTCTGGGTGACACCCTTGGTAAAGGACATTGTGCTTGTGCCTTTTACTGAGTGATTACTTACAGCAACAGGATTGATTTAATATGTACATGAGACATTCCCTCATTCAAGCCCATTCCCAGGCGCAGGGGAAAAATTAAGAACCTTCTCAGGAGTTGTCCTACCCACCTGTTCCCCTGACAGGAGCTAAGGAAACCTTTCCATTCTGGGGGACAGTACCACGTGCTGCTGTCCAAACAGGAAACCTACTATCTCATTTGCATTCTTGGTGTCCCTGTCTCAGGACTCTCAGCCTCATTTGAGTCTGAAGGGGGTCACACCCTACACTTCCTAGAGGCAGGCAGTGAGGTGACTGTCACTGCAGGTGGCTGGTGGTGAGGGCCCTTAGCCGAAGTCACCAAACTAGGAGCTAGCAGAGGCAAAGCCTGGAGCTGCCTAGCAGAGTGCCTGCACCGCTCACTGTGCAGCTGAGCAGAGCATCTGACCCTCTCGCCTGTGCCGTGACACAGTGTTAGGGTGTGGGAAGGAGAGGATAGTGGGCGGGGGGCTGGGAGCAGAAGAAGTGCTGGAAAAACGTTGATGAGTTTCAATGCTGCCCGAAAGGGTTGCTTTGCACTTGGCCTTCACATGCTGACTTTCAATGAAATTAGCTACTCTCCCTGAAACTGGCACACACCAATACTGTCAATTTGGCCTAAATTGAAACTGGGTTTGGAACCCAGCCTTTGACGCCATTGATTTAGTGTGAAAGCACTCTCACACTCACAAGGCACTGGGAAAGGATGAGAGCTTCTCTCTGTGAAGAAGTATGTCACCAGAGGAAACGTCTTTTCAAGTGATGTCACGCTGCCAGTCACCTGTTTATAACGCTGCTGACATGCCAAGGCCGTATCTTAATGCAGCATCCTGCTAAGAAACACCAGCCGCTACAGAGCACTTCAGAGGGGTTGTGTTGCCCCTGCTCTTTGCGCGAACGATGAACTCTGTCTCCTCTTCCCATTACAAGAAGAGGAGAAGTGCTGAAAGTGAAGAAATGGCTTTGGGGGCTGGGGCGGCGGTCCAGTGGTGAACGGGCTTGCCCTGTGTCTTAGTTTGCTTTCTGCCATGATGAAGAGGGTGACTAAAAGCAACTTGGTCCATCACATAAAGGAAGGAACCTGGAGCAGGAGCTGATGCAGAGACCGTGGAGGACTAACTGCTGGCTGGCTTTCTCCCCGTGGCTTCTTACAGCCATAGTGAGCTGGGCGCTGCTGCATGGATCACCAACCAAGAAAATATAGTACAGGCTTGCCCACAGGCCAGGAGGCAATTTTCTCCATTGAGGTTCTCTCTTCCTAAATAATTCTAGCTTGTGTCAAGTTGACACAAAACTAGTTCCCAGTTGGGACTGCAGGTGTGCTCCATATAAGCTATGTTGTAGCAAACCTGTAGTTCCAGCCTGGGAAGGCACACACAGGGAATCCCCAAGCAGGCTGCCTGGCAAGCCCACTCTATCCGTGACCTCTGGGTTTGACTGAGAGACCCTGCATCGATGGCCAAGATGGAAGAGCAGTCTAGGATGAGTCTAAACACCCACCTCTGGCTTTCACAGGAAGCTGCACACCCACACACGTGCAAACATGCAGATGCTCCTGTACCACACACACAGATGTGCACCCACACAGACGCATACATGTACACACACACACACAATACACACATGCACTTACACAGAGAAACAAATAAATAAATGACTTTTTCTTGGGAAACCCCATCGCAGATACTTCCTCTGCAAACATTCGGAAGGGAACTCCAGGCCTGTTGGCAGCATGAGTTGCTTACAAACATTTAAGATGCAGCCATTCCATGGGATCTGCCCATGGAAGAAGCAAGCCATCCGTTCCTGGAGGCCAGAAGCATGTGTGACCACGGACAGAGCCATATATGTGAAAAGAGAGCTGAGACTACAGCCCAACTCTGCAGCCAGCCAGGGGGATTTCGGGAAAGTCACCATACTTTGAGAGTATATTCCCTCATCTGTAGAGTAGAAGGATTGCCCATTTTCCCCAAGATTTTCCTAATCTTATTCTGTAGTCTGTCCCCTGAATCATGGCTCCTGGAGAAAGAACCAGGCCCTAAGACTGGGACAGATCCATGCTTAGCCTGAGACGGAGAAAGGCTCAGACTAGCAACAAACATCCTCACGAGAGACAGCAGGGTAGATAAATAATAGAAGATAGAAAAATGGTAAGTAGATTGGTTGGTTGCTGATTAATACACACAGATGACTGAAGGAGAGAAACAGAGAGCGAAAAGGAGGAGACATATATGTGTATCTAAACCTGAACAAGAAAGATAAATTAAAAGTAATTTTCATTATAGAGGATCTCAAAAAGAAAACATGTTCTCCCAATATTTAGAAAAGTAAACCCCATTATTGAATTGCATTTAATATTTTTCTTCATTTAAAATTTTAGGGGCTCACATGTCACTGTTTTTTTTTTTTTTTTCTTTTTTGTTTTTTCTGTATCTTTCTTGCAGGTCCCTTCAGATGTGAGACTCTTGAAGAAAAAAGGAGAGAAGGAAGAAAGGAAAGAAGGAAGGCAGGCGAGAAGGTAGTCACAGCCTGCGGTTGATTAGCTATTCATTCTATTGCCTGAATCTAAGTCTCATCCTGGAGTTCCTCTAAATCATATAAAGGTGAAAGGTCACTGAATCTTTGTCAAACCTCTCAAAGTCAGGATTGGGGATCATCAGAGCATAGTGCCCCACCTGTAACCCTAGTTCCTGGGAGGCTGAGAACAGAAGGCTGTAAACTCAAGCCCAGCCTACACAGAGAGCAAACCACTGTTCACCCCAACACACACACACACACACACACACACACACACACACACCCAAAGACTGGGAATTAACTAAGGCTATAGTCACTCTACCGTAAAAACATCTAGCCAAAAGTTACAAAAGAGAGATGCTTGCTACAGCAGTGTCCAGGGAGATATCCCAAAATGCCCAGCACTGCTGACTTTGAACACGGGGTAAGAAGGGGATCGTTAGTTGCCTTCCATATGGCTCACTAGAACCCCAACTTTGAACCTGGAAGTGAGAATATTAATCAGGTGATAGTCCCCTTCTCAGAAAATTCTTATCATAAAAAACTGTAGCAGTAAACACCTTCGATGGTGTCACACAGGACAGAGGCTTGCATAGTGGGCCACCTTGTATTTTTCCACCTTTAGCAAGACCACAGTCACACCAAATGGTAAATACCTGTAATTCCAGCAGTGAGGAGACTAAGAAAGGAGGCTTGACACAAGTTCAAGGTCTGCCTGTGCTAAATATTGAGTACCAGGCCAGCCATGCCTACCTACAAGGACCCTGTCTCAAAACAAATCATAAGCAGTTAAAATAAGCTGCAGTGCTGCTTTGGGTATGGATCAATGGTACAGCATGTTTTTAGCATGAACAAGGTCCTGAATTCCATCCCCAACATCAACTACACACACACACACACACACACACACACACACACATACACCCATATACTTTATAAAATAAACAGGATGTATTGTATGTCAGAAATATTCATGAAAATAGAAAGCCAAGCATAATGGTAATGTGACATGGATGTGTGGAGATCAGATCAACCTGGCACTGAGTTGTAGAGTTCATGAGAACATGACATGCATGTGTGGGAATCAGGAGAACATGATACATATGTGAATATGAAGAGAACATGACATACGTGGAGATCAGGAAAACATGGTATTGATATGTAGGGATCAGGAGAACATGGTACTCATATGTGGAGCTCAAAAAAACATTTCATTGATAATGTGAAGGGTAGGAGATTGTGTGTGGACATCAGGAGAACATGACACATATGTGGATATGAGAATAACATGACACATTTGTGGGAGTCAGGAGAACATGGCATTGATATGTGGGGATCAGGAGAACATGACACATTTGTGATATGAGGAGGACATGATACATATGTGAAGGTCAGGAGAACATGGCATTATATATATGGAGCTCCGAAGAACATTTCACTGGTAAAGGGGAGGGGATTATTTGGTACTCAGTAGATTGCAACACTCACATGTTGAACTTAGGAGAACATGCTACTGACATGTAGGGATTAGTGGAACACAGGTAGCAATGAGAGGGTTATGACACTGTTACATGAAGCTCAGGAGAACATGGCACATATGTGTAACTTGGGAGAACATGACACTGATCTGTGCAGCTCAGGGGCAGGCACTATGGCGTGGCTTAATTAGAGCAAAGATAAATCATTAGCAACAAGTTTCTCCCTCAGAATCAATGCAATGATTGGGCAAGAGAAGAGGGTCATAGTCTGCAGGTAACTGACCTACTTTGCAACACTGTGGCCTCACTAAGAGCCAAGCAGAAGTCTCAGCGGCAGCACGGCCCTCCCAGCTTGGGAAAGGGTTCGAAGCTAGTGCAAGGACAAGCCTACCTCTGATATTCAGCGCTTCGGACTTCTTCTCTTTTTTCACCGTCTCTTCTGGTTCATTCTCGGTGTTCAGGGTATCACCTGCATTCAAAGAAGAAACCTTGTGTTGTGTATAAGTTCTACAAACAAACAAACAAAAAAAAAACCAATGTACTCAAAATGCAGTTTTGTTATTTTCAATTCCTCTTAGCATATGGGAGTCCCCACCTCTCCCGCGCTTGGCCCAGATGAACCCAGAGGAAGCCGTTAACCCTTGGACTTCACACACACACACCTTTCAAATTTAAAACGGGACAAGTAAAGATAAATAAAAATAAGCGGGACAAGTACAAGCCTACACCTACCCCAAGCCCTGCCAGGGATGTATCTGTCAGGGATGGATACAAGCCCAGGTAGCCCCAGGCAAGGGGAGGGATAGAGAATGCTCTCTGTTGCCCAATAGTAAGAATTGCTTTCCAAGATCAATACTGCTACCCGGAGAGCGGAGGATAAGGACTGCGGGGTGGGGGGGGAGGTCAAGGAGGAAAGAAGGGAGGGGGAGATGGGGATGGGGAGAAGACAGAAGGCAGGGAAGGAAGGAGAAAGCGGAGGGGGAGTGAAATTAGAAGAGGGGCAGAAGAGACTGCGAAGGGGATTAAAAAAAAAAAAACAGTCAGAAACAAAACGAAAGAAAGGGAATGGGTGGGTAAAAGGGAGCAGATGCCTGGAGGAGGGAGGAGGACTGCGGGAAGGACAAAGCGGCCCCTGTCGGAAGGATGCAACCGAAAGGCACCTGCTACGTTCGAGAACACGGTGGCGCCCTCCTGCTGCTTTCTTTCGGCCGAGGCCCCCCGGTGAGTCACTGCTGTGTCCGAGCCGGGAGCTGTGGCTGCCACAGCCCCTTGGGGACTCCCCAGAGCGCCACAGGGGTCCCCCTGGTGCGGAGGGCGGGCCCAGCGGCCCCGCGCGCAGCGGGAGAGGCAGGCGCCGAAGTCCTGGAAGATGAGCAGCCCCACCACGTTGACCGCCAGCCCCAGGGCGCCCACGATGAGCACCAGCTCGGGGTCGTCGATGCGCTCGGGCCGCGCGAGGCGCAGCACGGCCTCCACGAAGATGGTGAAGCAGAGCGCGGTGAGGAAGACGGCGTTGCTGAGCGCGCCCACCACCTCGGCCCGCGCGTAGCCGTAGGTGGCGCGCGAGCCGCGGGCTCCGCGCCGCGCGATGTAGCCGGAGCCCAGGCCCACGCACAGCGAGATCAGGTCAGACAGCATGTTGAACGAGTCCGAGAGCAGCGCGATGGAGTTGCCCAGGTAACCGGACACCAGCTCGGCCACGAAGAAGGCCGCCGTGAGCACCAGCATGAACAGCAGCCGGCACGTCTTGCCGGAGTAGCGGCCCATCTCCGCAGCCAGCTGCGCCCCGCAACAGGTGGGGGGGTCTGGAGGCTACCTCCCGCCGCGGGCCGGCCCTGACCCGCCGGAGCCTTTTGTGCTGCCAGCTCGCGCCCGCAGGGCCAGAGTCTGCGGGAGTGGCCCCAGGATTGCAAAGGACGCCTCCCGGGGCCCCTGGCCCTCCTCCCTCACCGCCCAAGCCGGGACTTGGCAAGAGGCCACCGGCCTGTGTCTCTTTCTAGGTCTGGGCTGGAGAGGGGAGCTGCTGGGAGGAGGCGCGCATCGGGATGCCAATCTTCTTAAATCCCACCTCCACCCTCCCAGAGAGAGAGTTGCACCCAATGATCCCTGCTCCTACGACTCCACCCCACGCCCACCCCTGGCCCACTTAGATCTGTGAAAGCCGCTGATAAGGACCCGGCTGTATTGCGGGTGCACACCCGTGCCTACGTGCCGATACGCGAGCTGCAGGGCAGATTCCATATGAGCTGGTGGAGCCAACTGCCCTTAAGGGCGTTTGCTGCTTTCCCTTTGGTTAACTGGTATCTCACTCCTCACTCCAGCCCCCAGCCCCGAGCCCCACCTCCAAAGCCCTTTTTCATCTCTTCTTCACAAACAGCGTGGATCCTTTCCGTTACCCCTTCATAGCACAGTTTTTCCATCTCCCCTTTGATGTCCCCTTTGAGTCCATCTTTCTACGCATGGCCGCCCCACTGCTGTAAGTGTTAGCATAGGGCGCTGGTGCAGCACCCCAAGGCTGGGATACTTTGGTAGATCCAAGGCCCTGGGCCATGACAGAAGCCAGGCTCGGTCGCCCTTCACAATCTGCCGGTGAGAATTTCTCCTGGCTCCATAGACGACCCGATACCCGTAGTTCAACCGATTGACCCAAATCGTTTTTTGTTTGTTTGTCTGTTTCAAAACAGGCCCGGTTCCAAGTGACTTTCACTGAAAGGGAGCCTGTCCTGCACAGCAGCCACTCCAGAAAGGGCATTAGCTGCCGGTCACTTCAGTGGGCTGTGGAATGGGAGCTCCGTGCCTCACTCTCGTCTCATTTTACGACGGGTCTGAAGGCATAGTAACCTCTAGCCATGTCTGGCCACAAGCTTTAACCTCCCGCGCCAAGAAAAGGTCGTGGGGGTATTTAGTCTCAATATTTGGACAAAGCATTTAGTTTAAATACTTTGGAATAAACCAGTTCTTGCCAGTCCCAATCAGGCAAATAATGTACTCTGATTATTCTCAATCCCCGTTCCCTTATCTGCTCCTTATGCCCTCTGAGCTCCCTCTTCCCTGAGTTTTCTCCCGCATTCATGCCCTTTTGTTTGCGGGGGGGGGGGGGGGGGCGTACACAGAATGCGTGCTATGACTTCCAGGTAGAGGTCAGAGGACAGCTTTGGGGCGTTCTCTCATTCTACCGTGGTAGTCTCCAGGACTGAACTCAGACCATCAGGCTTGGTTGCCAAACCCCTTTTTTCTGTTGAACCATCTTTCCAAACGCCGCCCCCCACCCCACCCCCACACACCCGCTTTTGTTTTGTTTTGTGGCCTGTGTAGCATTCTACCTTCCAGCCATCTTTTTCACAGTATCTGGAGGCCCCTATCAGCCGTACTAAAACATCCCTGATCTGAAGGTCTTATCTGATTACTAGATAAACCCCACATGCAAGGAGCTTATTAATACCCCCCCCTTCAGCCAGGCAGATGGCTCATGCCTGTAATCCCAACACTTGTAGGCTGGCCTACAGAGAGAGAGAGAGGAGAGGAGGGAGAGAATTTGTGTGGCTATAAATAAACATCTCCAGGAGAAAGATCCCTACACTGAGAACTTGAGGAAATTATCTAAGAAATAATAATAACTTATAAATAATGGCATAACAACATAAAGACAGTGAAAATTTTAAGCTTACATAGGCTTGGACAAGTTTCCTTAACCATCCAGGCCTGTTTTCATCTCTGTAAAGGGGAAACGATGACTACATTATGTAGTGAAGACGATTAAACAAATTAGTGAACAAAGTATTTGAAACAGTACCTGTATACAGTAAGCACTCAAGAAATGCTATAATTATGCTGTGGTTAGCAGCAGTGCAGTACACGTGATAGAATCACGACTGTTCAACAGATAAAATGCTAGTTCACACCAGCAATGTACCCCAGTTCCCTTCCCAGTAAACAGCTCAGATCGGCTCCAAATATGGAACCTCTAAAATCTTTGATATATGACAGCAAGAATGGGGCTGGCAGTATAGCTCAGTGGTGGAGCACTTGACTGGCACATGCAAGGCCCTGGGTTCAAATCCAGACACTGCACTAATAATTAAAAAAAAAAAAGAAAGAAAGAAAGAAAAGAAAACTGACAGAAGTCACACCTGGCAGGGCTAAGTGTTCCTTCTACAGGGCTAACTGTAGTTCTTGGTCATTCACAGCTGGAAAAAAAAAAAAAAGAAAGATATCACACCTGCTTCCTTGTTAGTCATTCTCCCAGCCAAGGGCATGGGTCACTGGCCCGGGAGCAACACAGTAAGAACTAGAAAGCTAGAGGCTGAGGACCAGGATTTGTCACAGTTCTCTGCTGTCCCTGTCCTCAGCCAGTTCCTGACCATAGGAAAGGTAAGTGTTCCACACTCTGCCGATAAAATGCGCTGTAGAAAAGTGGGGTGTGTATGTGGGATGTGTATGTGGGGTGTGTATGTGGGGTGTGTATGCAGGGTGTGTATGTGTGTGTGTGTGTGTGTGTGGTATATGTACATGTTGTGTTTGTACAGGTGTATACACATGTACCCTCACATGCTTAAGCCTGTCTTCCTCAATCAGTTCCACTTTTGGGGGGGACTTGGGTGGGGAGAGAGCATAGTCTCTCACTGAACCCAGCACTTCCTGATTAACCAGGCTGGCCAGCCAGGAGCTGCAGAGACCTACCTGTCTCCACTTCTCCACTCAGTGCAGACTCTGCCCAGCTTTTCACATCGTGACTGGGAATCGAACTCAGGTCCTCTCCCTTGTACAGCGATCACAGCGCCGCCTGGGTCATCTCCCCAGCCCCCACGAACATGTCTTAATTAATTCACATTATATGGCCTATCTAAGTGACTTGACAGACACACAGGCTGTCTTTACAATGTGTGATTCAACAGCTCTTTGTCCATGGAGCTCCTGTGTGAGGTCCTGGACGTGAGTACTCCATAGGCACCATCTCATTCCACCTCCCAGTATCCTCACACAGTATTTAACATATTAAATAATGTCTTATTATAGCCTATTTTATTGCTGGAAAAGTTGAAGCCTGGAGATTTTAATCCACCAAGCCAAGACCACACAACCTGAAAATGGAGGTGTGAACTCTGACTTAGGCATAGAATGCCCAAAGCTTATTTTTGTCACTTACACCAGACTGATCTTTTAAAAAATACTTTGGCTCTAAAAAAAAAAAAAAAAACCAGCATTTTCTTTGTCTGTTTTTGCTTTGAGATAGGGTCTTTCTGTGTAGTCCAGGCTGGTTTCAAACTCAGTCTTCCTGTCTTCACCTCCCAGCACTGGATATATAAATTCCCTTTTTGATGGCCCAAAACTTGATGCAGTACAGTTCAAAATTTTGGGGGATGTTATACTCAAAATTCTTTCTACACTGGTATTTTGTTTCTATGTATTAGTTTTTAAGATGTGAATTTAAAAATAAATAAGTCAGCTAATAAGATAGCTCAGCAGGAAAAGGAAGTTGGCACTGAGTTTAATCCTGGAAACCTACAAGGTGAAAGGAGAGAACTGACTCCCACAGATTGCCCTCTGACCTCCTCCTGAGCACAATGGCCTACACCCATGTGTATACACACACACAGACACACACACAAATAATAATTTAAAAACAAATAAGACAATTCTAAATCCCTGCAACTATAGGGAACAAGTTATTGAAATGACAATACTTTCACAGATACAAAATATGAGCCCATGTCATTGGCTGTTGAGATTTCTTTCTTTCTTCTTTGTTGCTTTTTTTTTTTTTTTTTTTTTTTTTTTTTTTTTTTTTTTTTTTTTTGGTTGGTTGGTTGGTTGGTTTTTGAATACAGGGTTGCTCTGTGTAGCCCTGGCTGTCCTAGAACTCATTCTGTAGACCAGGCCGGCTTGAACTCAGAGATCTGCTTGCCTCTGCCTCCTTGAGTGCTGGGATTAAAGTCGTGCACCACCACTGCTGGGCTGCTGGGCTGGGATTGTTTTTAAGTCGTAGATTTGTACAGAGTGAAGGTTTGCCCTCAAAGTATTTCAGAATACGTGAAATCTGAGAGATTTATGATGAGATGAGCCGACACTACAGGTGACTTCTTGCCTACTCACCCACTCAATCCCCCTTTTAGGGGCCGAACCCTGATTCTTGGCTTAGCACACCTGCTGAGCATGCTCCTCGCCTGTGCTAGTTGACTGTACTAAGACCTTGATTCCCGTCTGCATTTGCAGCTGGCTGTAGCCGCATGACTGAGTGACCCTGACGTTGTCAATGGAAATACCACGTGGTACTTTTAAAAGTTTCCTTAGGTGGAAGAGTTATGCCCTCCTTTGACATCTCTGTCCTGCTTCTTGGGAGGTGGAGATGATGGCTGCTGCTCTAACAAGCATCTGACACTGTGAAGATGTAAGGGCCTCTCCCTGTGGAAAGCAAATCGGTGTGGGGTAGTTGTTTGAAGCAGGGTATAGGAGAGTCTCGATTTCTGATGACCTGGAATCCATATCCTGACTTTCCTCCAAACTTCTTTCATACAAAAAGCAATTAAATTTCTGTCCCGTTTGAGCCACTGTTGTTTGCAGGGAGAGGTCCTTCACGTCTGACACAATTGGCCCATACATTTCTATCTCTTCATCACACCTTTACCAGTCTCTGCACCTCGATACTCACCCTTCTTCTGGCCATGCGTCTTTTCCTTCAGCACAGCAGCCCCACCCCTACCCTTCCAACATGACAGCACCCCTTCTGCACAGCCCACCGACTGCCATCCCCTGAAATGTTCTTTTCCCTCTCTATACCTCTGCGAAGCTTGCCTGACACTGGATCATAATACAGGCACATCCTGTCACCAAGGTTCATCATAATCCTGTCACCAAGGTTCATTGCTCCACACCTTGTCCCAGCTCCTGGCTTACAGGATTCAGCATTTAGGAGATGAGTGAAAGAAATCTGGATGACATGAGTACACTCTGTTCTCACAGGAGACTCTCGCTAAAGAACTAGAAGGAGCTGAGATTGTGGATCAGTGGTAGAACTACTGCCTACTATTCACAAGACCCTGGGTTCAATTCCCAGTACCACAGAAAAAGGAAGAAAAAGAAAAATTGAGCTCAAGAG